CAGCTGTACTTAGACTGAAAGATACCCCAAATACGGCTATAACGACAGTATGTCGTCTTCTGGTGAAGAAGGTAGGACTGACAAACGGCAGACTCTGAGAATCAGACAGAAGATGACTACCATATCTATCTTTAGACGGGACGGGAAGAAGGCGGCCCTTCACATCGGAAAACACTGAAACTTGTCAGACCGAGCCGTAGGGCCTCGCTCCACTACTCTTCACATGCACAGACGACAACAAATATGGCGGTGTATCTTCCCATGTTCTAACAGAAGATTCATTCTCATTTTGCTGATTTGGTGAGAAGAGGGACTGGTGGGAGGCCTGTATTGTGTGTGGTTGTATTCTCAGACAATAATACAGACTCTTACAGAGACAAGACAACAAAACAGACTCTCACAGAGACACAAGCACGACGAGAGATGAAGGGCATTGCCATGCCACTCTCGAAATGTGCCAAATGAAAATGAACTTCCGGCTAGAACATGTCCAGATGCACCTGCCAAATTTTAGTCGTTTTCACATTTTGAGCGTGGTGTGGCAACGCCCCAAGTCCAAGACTCCAAGGAGTGGCAAGGACCGACAAGGCAGGGCGAACTGCAAGCGAGTTATGAGAATTGACACAGTATTACTAATTTACTATTACAGTTTTCCACTGGAACCTCAACAGGTCATGGCAAAAAGAAACTGCCTGCCTCCCTCCTTCTGACTTCGTCTAAAGTCCGTACTAGGATTTATCCTGCCGCAGGCCACTTAAAATTGTACTCTGCAGATATGTCTCGTAGGAACCACCCCCCTCGCCCCCTCCTCTCCCGCTTCTTCTGGCCCCAACGGACTGCCTCCTCAAAATTGTACTCTGAAGGATTGTCTCTTATTGGACCTCCCCCTCCTCATTCCCCCGCTTCTTCTGGCCCCAAGGTACTGCCTACCTAAAAGCCTACCTTGAAGGTATGCCTGTCATTGGAGCCACGCTCGCCCACTGCGACCCCCCTCTTCTTCCCCCAGGGGACTTCCTCCCTAGAGTCATACTTCCGAGGTCCGTCGCACATTTGACCCCCCTTGAGACCCTTCGTCCCCCAAGGTATGTCTTTCATAGGACTACCGCAGCCCCACCTTCGACCCCCAAGGTACTGCCTCCCCAAACTCGTATGGAAGGTATCTCGCACATGGCGCTACAGCGCCCTCCTCCTCCCCCCCCTTTCCCCCTCTTCGACCCCCAAGGGACTGCCTGACAAAGGTCACCGACCAGCAACCAAAGTCAACTACCGCCTTCAAGTTGGTCATTATTGCCGTATCTAGACTGCAACATGCCCGAAATACAGCGATAACGACCGTACTTTTCTATCCGTTATCGCCGTACCTATGTAGCCTGAAGTAACATGCCCCAAATACAGCGACAATGACCGTACGACGTACGGTCTATTCATGGGTATACGGTAAGTCATACAGAGGGTCCCCCACCAGAGTCAACTAAGTCATACTCTGAAGGCATGTCAGCAAAAGGAGAGAGCGCGCCCTTCAGGCAATGCGCAAAAATAGAACAACAAGATCACGCGGGATCATTGGAAAACCATTCGCACCGAATGACACTACATGCAACCAGACATTTCAAAAAAACAAAAAACAAAAAAAAAAACATTCCGGCTGATCAAGCCCAATAGGACGGTCGAGTCCCCGGTCACTCCCCTACAGGCAGCGAAGTCGACATCGGCATTATCGAGGAATACGAACGAATTACCGAGAACAGCAGTTACGACGACTTATCAGATGCCCACTGCTGGGAAACAGCCTCACTCGTCTCTTGAAATTTTCCAGCATCATAAGACGATAACAGACACAACGAGAAGATCAATCATAATTTCACATTTTTACTTCACATAGAAATCGTTACAGGACGAGCAGCAGAGCAGAAAAGAGCATAGGAGACCACAAAACGGCACAGACGAGCGCAAAAAAGCACAAAAAAGCACAAAAGCGCAGGGTTACAAACTTTCAACAGTTTATTTCACAAATTCACATCGAAATTCATTGAAGACGGGGCACAAAAGAACAGAAAAGAGCACAAAGGAGATCGAAAGAGCACAAAATTCAAGAGAATGGTAAAAGCGCTGGACAGTTCTTTTCACATCGAAATTCATTGAAGACTAGCTCAAGCGCACAAAAGAGCACAAAAGAGCACTAAGGGGGTACCCACATTAGCACTTTTCGAAATGCATCTGACTGCGATTGCAGCACGACCTGGATGAACCTGACGGCAATCGCGAACAGAGCTTAGTGGAAAAACTGAAACCAGTAGTGTGAGTAAATGCACTAAAGAGCGCACTACAGAGCGCAGGACTTGACCGAAGAGCACGCATGAGAACAATGGGCCTCGCCGCTCTACTGACCAAATGCACAAAAGACAAAAACGATAGCGGTGCATCTCATTCTCATTTTCCACATTTGTTGAGTCGTGGATTGAAGCCCAATGGCGGACTATCAAAGGTGACTGTCATATGTCTCAAACATCCAACCTCTACAACAATCTGGACTTGCCACAAAAAAAAAAAAAAAAAAAAAAAAGGAGGGTTAACAGTGATGCTCGTTTTGGTTTGTTTATATGTGAAAAATAGTCGACTCCGTGTACCAAGGAAACAAACAAAACAAAAAAAAAAGAAACAGAGAAGGATTACAACAGTTCCGTCGACAAATTCTTTCAATGGAAGCAACGACGCGGGGATCCCTGGCAAATATAAAACGAAACGAATTGGATCCGTTTCTTTCAAAAAAAAGATGACCGTGTGAAAAAAAAAAAAAAAAAGAAACAGAGAAGGGTTGCAACAGTTCCGTCGACAAATTATTTCAATGGAAGCAACGACGCGGGGTTCCCTACAGTGCACCCGGCAAATATGGTGGTTTCCTTTACCCATCTCCGGTTAGGGGTCAAACCCTCGAGACTTGAGCACAACGATTACAAAGCGAAACAACAACAACAACAACAAGGGTCAAACCCATCTCCGTCTTTTTTTTCTTTTTTTTTTTAAGTGACAAATTCTTTCAACCAAAGTAGCGATTACTACCGTCTTCACCCGAATAGAACGCCCAGTCATTACAGCTGTAGTCGGTGCAAGGTTCAGTCCAGAATCCACTGCAGACACGTCAATCATTACCGGGCGTTCTATTCGGGTGAAGGCGGTAGCCGGGACCATGTCCCACATAGCCGAATTCTTCATTCCTGGCCGTCGATCTTCATAGTCTACGGTCAAAAATCGAGGACTCAGCAGGTAAGTGAGACTTGGTCCCCGGCAGATGATGTACTAGAAATCTAGGATCCTCACCCAAAGTTAACTTCGGTTCAAACCCTTGGAACGCGAGCACAATCACAAAGGGACCCCCCCTCCCCCTTCCCCCCCCCACCTGGAGGATTATGTCCACAAAGCTTTCACACAATAGGTGCAAAAAAGAAACCGAATTTGTACCCAAACTTCGGTTCGAGCCCTTGGAAACAAATGGAGTAACATCTCTCTCCTTCTCCTTTTTTTTTTTTGTACATTTGAGTTTTGAAGTAGCCCGCAGCTTTCACTTCTAGTAGTAATTCAAAAGGGAAATAAAACGGGGAAAGAAACCTGCTACTTCATATTTTTCTGTTCCTTTTCTTAGCTTTTCTCTAATGATCGACAAATTGTTTCAATTGAAGCATCGAGGGATTCGAGGCCCGGTTCCGGGTCTAATCGGAAATTGCCCTCGAAAAAAAAATCTACCATCCTTACCAAATACCCAACTTCGGTTCAAACCCCCGAAACTTGAGCACAATCACTAACGGAACCCCTAAGCCTGCAGGGCCTGCACCACTATGTCCTCATGACTCCACAGAGCGCTCATATAGTACACATGGCAACGCAACATCTCTAGATTCTCTACAGACTACCGTTCCTTGTACTTTCCTTTTCGGGATAATTACGGTGCAGTCGAGTTAAACTTTTCAGTTTGAAATGCACTTCAGCCATCCCTCGAATACAACTCATCCCCACCCAACCCTAAAACTGGGTTCTATACATTCACGATTTTCCTTTATTGGATCAACATTCGGGAAATCGTGACTGAAACGCATTTAAAACTGAAACCCGGGACTGCGCCCTAGTTTTCCCTTCTTTTTTTTCCCCTCAAAATTCAAATTTCAAATTTCAAATTTCGAATTTCGAATTATTTGCATACTAGAGCCCAGCGACCTCAAACAATACTCCCGGCATTCCTTGTGTACTCCTGAAGTTGCCCGCATCTTTCACCACATAGTGGGGGGGGGGGGGGGGGGAAAAAAAAAAATGAGGGGAATTTTACTGGGAAAAGGTGGGGGGGGAGAGGGGAAAAGCAAAATATTGGGGGGAACTTCACTGGGACAAAGAAACTGCTCTTCATAGCCTGCCCTCTTCTTTGCCCACATTCGAGAACTTGGGACTATTCGGGACTATTCTTACCGTCTTCTCCCGAATAGAACGCACGGTCATAATCGCTGCAACTATAGACTGAAAGTTCTGGATCAAATGCAGAACAGATATGCTGGCCGTGCGTTCTATTCGAGAGAAGAGGGTAGTGGCCCTAGTGGGTGGTTGGTATTGTGTGTTCGCCCTCGACCTACGAAACAGTGGAGGGAGAGGAAAGCCTGAGAGGGAGGGGCCCACGGGTGCGCACTATGTTCACACTCAGAAAGCATGAACCTCGCCACAAGAACGGCCATATTCATGCCTTCTTCGCGCCAACATACTACCAATCGCGCCTGCACCTGATGCTACCTACCCTTCTCCACGAAGTATGTTGACTGTGGTCGCAAGAAATATCACACACCCGACCACCAACAAGAAAATTCCAAGCGCCACACTGCGCGGCGAGGTTGTGGGCAACCTCTCGAGCCTCCTACTCCCCCTACTCCCCCTACTCCCCTTCCTACTAGCAGAATTGACGTTCAATCCCCTAGACAGCGGACGGGACTCTTGTGCAGCCTGTTTTTCCTTAATATCCGTACTATACAAAGGGGGCGACCACGTCTCGACGGCGGATGCTGCAGATGGACGTGAACTCGAACTCGCGTCAGCGGTGGAGGATCTCCTCTGCTGTTTTACAGCTTCGCCATTTTGTTCACGTGCTTCTTGCGAATCTCCCAGAAGCGGCGAAAGGATAGAGTCACGTGACTCACGTGGACAAGTCACAAGAGGACAAAAAATATGCGTCCAGGGATCGAAACCTCGCCGAGCAGCAAGTGCAGCAGCAAGGGGATGGGCAGGGGGAGGAGGTGGAGGAGCGGGAGGAGGAGGAGGACGAAGAGGATGTCCAGGTGGGGTCCAGGGATCAAAACCTGAGACCAACAAAAGACCAGGTATGATGAAGACGACTAGAACCCCACTGGTGCTTCCCACCACGGACATTATTATGCCAATGTCAGGTATAGACATAGCAGCGGCCACAGTGCTGGCCAACAAGCCAACGGAGAGCACCACGTGAACAAGATCCGACTCTTCAGCGTGGATTGCGACACTGCTAGGTACCCCTAGTAATTGAATGACCAGGTCCCTTAACATAGACCTGGTAGCGAAGTGGTTCACCGGATACGCCACGGTCGCCAGCACGGCCATTCCGTATCGGACCAGGTTCAGACGTAAATCCTCGTGGCCGAAGCTGCACAGAACATCGCTCTTCACGTCCGGAAAAATTAAGTACCCAAAAATGCCCACGACGCCGTAAGCCACAGCACAGATACCCGTTGAAGCACAGATGACTTGATCCATGATTGCTACCTTACGACCCCACTTCTTGGGCACGTCGATGGGCCCGCAAGTGTCAGCAGTGGGACCACATGGAACTGGAACCTGATGGGGCAACCTGTGTTCAAACTCGCCTTCAAGTTGGAGAGAACCGGTGAGCTGCCGCCGGTGAGGCTGCTGCTCCACGACAGCTGTTGTTGCTTCAGCTTGCGCCACGTGTCGAGCAGGCAGAGGCTCTGCTGCCATGTGATCATCCGGTCGTCGGTCAAAGCCGCTGAGCGGGACATCCTCCCGCTGCTGCTGTTGGTGTCCCTCTTCCCGCTGGTGCTGTTCAAGTTGCTGCTCCTTTTGTGCCTTCGAATTTGACTTGACCTGACGATTGCCGACGGACTCGAACCCCGCACCTTCCCCTGGTTCAGAAACGTCAACGGGCTGGTACTGGGTTCGGTGTTCCTTGTGCCTCTGCTGTTCCTCCTCCTCACCTAGGCGGGATTCGGGCCAGGTCCCCGCACCTTCACCTGGTTCAGAAACGTCAACGAGCTGGTAGTCGGATCGTTGTTCCTTGCGCCTCCGCTGTTCCTCCTCCTCATCCCGGCGGGATTCGAGCTCCGCACCTGTGGCACCTCCAGCTTGCGCAGCAATGTCAACGGCCAGGTATTCGGGGCGTTGCTGCCCATCCTGTTCCTTGCGCCTCTGCTCCTCCTCCTCCTCCTCCTCCTCCTCCTCCTGCTGACCGCGCGGGGATTCCATCCTCGAACCAAGCTTCAGCCGATCGGTGTCGCACAGCGGTGCCGCCCTGTCGCTCAGCTCTGCAAAGATTGGCACGCACTGGACGTTGCAATTAAACGCGAAGATGAAAATCCCGACGGACGTGAACACCTTGCGGTCTAAGTTGAAGTACTCCACGTGTTCGGGTACGCGACCTCGGAGGCTGACCAGGTTCTGCAGTCCTACCGCGAGAAGAGTTAAGGCTAGATACGACAGCATGGTGACGGACAAGAAGCCGCTGTACTTCAGCGACTGAAGAGTGCGTTTCAAACACAGAGGAAGCAGGACCATGGTCGCGATCGCGGTGATCAGTACTCCTCTGTCGGTCAAAACGTACAGCGATCCCGACAGGTCTGAGTCCAGATATCGCACCGCGAGAGGGTGAAAGATATCCCCCGTCACAATTAAGTAGGACGTCAACGCGCCTAGGATCTTGACGAGGATGAGTGCATTCACGATGACGCTGAGCCAGGGCCCGAGAGTGACCCCAACAAGGTCCTGGAACGTGGGGCAACCAAAATAGGCAGCCGCTCGGACGGTCACGACCAGGGATAGAATCTCCAACAGATAGACAAAGAGCATGAACATACACCCACCACCAATTCCCAAGTGTTTGAAAGCGTAGGGGAACGCCAGCATACCTGACCCTATGGCTGAATTAGCGAGATTGAACACGGAAATCCTCGGGTCAGTGTTGATGCCAACAAAAGCAATTCCAGACTTAGGGGTACCTCCCCTAGCACCTTCAGCGTTATCTTCGTCAAAATCTGCATTCCTGCCGTCCTGATAGACTTCCTGCTGCTGCTGCTGGTGCTGCTGCTGATTCTCTAACATGTCTTCCCTCATATGGTTATTTCTGCTCGCTTGTGACGTGGAGGAGGGTACAACGGACGAGGATGATGCCATGAACACAGTGGTAGTGTGGCTGACCACCGTCTCGGCATTCCCACTTGCTGAATTGCCCCCGGCTCTTGCCTCACGATCGGCCGATAGACGTCCCTCTGTGCCGCACCAGGATCGGAACGTTGGACAGGAGTACATCACGACTGCTGTCGCCCAGTTTCTGGCCGAAGGTCACCGGCCCTAAGTTATTCGTCCGCAAGATGTCGCACGCTATTCACACACATGCACCGAGTTCGGAACACAGCTCGAACCCTGGTCAGGATCGCATTATCACCGTCTACCAACTTCGAACAGCGAGCTCTCTCGAACACAAATAGGCCCTACGGCACGGGACTCCGACCGAACACTCGGAGCGATTTCATGCGATTCCAACTTCCCGACCGAGCCGACTCAAATTGTGTCCTAGCCTGCTCTCTCTCTCTCTCTCTCTCTCTCTCTCTGTGTGTGTGTGTGTGTGTGTGTGTGTGTGTGTGTGTGTGTAGGGGTGTGTGTGTGTGTGTGTGTGTGTGTGTGTGTGTGTGTGTATCTATCTGTGCAACATACCTACGCACTATCTACATCAGACTGCATGTACGTGTGAATGCGTACTAGCATATTTACACATGATGAAGTACTAGAATATTTACACATGATGAACTAAGTATCTATCGATTATCTACGTGTTATCTGTGCATATGTCGCGCACCGATGCCCATGCAGAACTGACAGGGAATTTTTGACCACATGTGCGTCCTCTTACTTCTAGCCACCAAGCAGATCAGAACTTCCTACTTCAGCTCTCTCTCTCTCTCTCTCTCTCTCTCTCTCTCTCTCTCTCTCTCTCTCTCCCCTTCGCTCTCGCTCTCTCGTACGCTCCCCTCCTCGCTCCCTCGCTCAGCAGCCCGTGCAATCTTTTCCTTAAGTTGTTGTGCTCTCTTGCTCGCACTCTCGCCTCGGCCTCCCACTCCTTTTCTTTCTTCTTTCTCCCATACGGGCAGACAAGCGCAGAAGCACACACAGAAACACATAGCCACTAGACTATATGATTCAACGAGGCCTCTCCCTCGCTCCAACCAGAGCAATACTGACACCTGCCGACCCCAAGTTGCTCGGTTATGAACGCCTGGCGATCCCACGTTGCATGTTATAAACGCCTCTCTCTCTCTCTCTCTCTCTCTCTCTCTCTCTCACCTTGTGGCTTTGTTGCCGTGCTTGTATGGACCTCTGCGAACTGAGATTCCCACTTCCACGTCGGCGACGGTGTGTCGAATCCAAATTTTCACTACTATAGACACTTCGAACTAGACCGGCCTTCCAATGGCAAGAAAGATGCAGACGTTACTCTTACTCTATGAATAGGAACGGATGCGTCTTACCACTTTCTGGCAAAGATGCATTTCCTTTTCCGGTTCGACAGTGGTGTGGCGTGGCCCGTAGCTTTTCTGCGAGGTTGCCGAGCCGGCGGGTTTTCTCCCGCCCTGGCAAACCAGGGGCCAATACCGCCAATCTTGAGCCAAAAGGCGGCGCGAAGCGCCGGGGGCTCGTGGGCGGCTCGTGGCGAGGACGTTCAGGTCGCTCACAATGTCTGGTCGCCAGGGGTCCGGGGGCCAAGTCCCACTTACCCCAATTCGCAATTCGTGTCCGTAGATTACCGAGATCGACGGCCAGAAACGAGGAATCAGCATAAGTGGGACTTAGCTCTGGTAGGCCAGAAGGTCGCAGCCGATTTTTTTGTGGGAGATGCTCAGACAGGATAGCAAAGGCGAACCGAGAGTGGAGCGCAAGGGAGGCGGGGGCTATCGGTGGCGGCGGAGCGATGCGCTATTTTTGATGCGCTAATTTTAGCGCAGTTGCCCTGTTAGCTCCCGAGTGGGTAATTAGCGATTAGGGTTAGCATTTGTTATGTCCGCCGCCCCCCCGCCCCCCTCGTTGGAGCTGGCTCAGCAACGTTCGTAGCGTCGGAAGTGACAGGCGGGTTAGTCAGTTTTTTAACTGCCCTGCTAGCAGGCTCGGCCACGTGGAACGCTCTACTGGGACAGCAGGCAAGCAAGAACGAAGAATGGAAGAAAGCAGGGCTGAAAATTTCGCCATCTCCATCGACGTTTGGTACAACCAGGACACACGGTTGGTAATCTCGTTCCCGATGGAAATTGTTTTGTCCTGTCTCCAGAATGCTTGTTGTGGAACCGTACCCTGTGAGTTTAGTTCTTGCCCATGCAACGTTACAATAAGTTAGAAATAGCTAGGATTAGTAGAGGGTTATCCATACCGCCTGTCCTACGTGTTAGTAGGAGATTGTGGGTGAGTTGGATACAGTGGTTAATCGTGGCTCTCTGTGTGACTTTAATGGCTACCTCCGAACCTGCCCCGTCTGCTTTATCCCTGGAGGACAAACAGAGGATTAGAGAGACTCTACAAGAATGTTATTCAAACGGCATTCTCCCGGAAGACTTTGCTCTGCAGGTGGCAGAAACAGGCCAGGACTTCGTATGAGTAGTAGTCAATAAGGATGTATTTCAAGTCCAAGCCCATTGGTTGCGTCAGCATGCGGTCTCCATCCATTTCGGGGATGATACGCCCTCTGTGCCTGTAAAAGTACAGTGGCCCGCCGCACAACACCCCACCAAGTGTCCAGGTGGAGGCACCTCTGAAACTGGGTATCACTCACCACCCATGACTATTTGCCGCGTCCTAAGCAGAAGTCTTGAAATTAGTGGCCATGTGGTTCTTTATTCTCCACAAAAACTCTCACCTCCACCAAGTCTAGGGTAGAAGGGACCGTACCTTCCTCTATAAATAGCAAAGAGGTGGGGTCCCTCCCGGGCTTACGCTTCCATTTCTGAATTTTTATTTCTGCGCGAAGATCAGGACCCTCAATCCTCCAAAACCTGCTTTTCTGTAGGGGGTCCTCCACCCATACCCCAATATTTAGTTCACTACCTTTCTGCAGAGTTCTCGTCCAATGAGAGGGGATGACCGTCTTTAATTTATCAAGAATGAGACGTATATTTCGAAGCCTGGACAATTGCTTTTTTTCACTGGCTAAGGGCAACCAGTCTGCCACTGCTTCATCCCAAAGATCCCGGATTTGAATCACTCCGTGTTCAATCAAGGTCCTCCCAAAGGAACCTGCACTCCCGGCTGCCACAAACAAACCCAAGTCTTGATTTCTGATATACGGGTTCTCGAAAAATATTTGCTTGAGGATCTCCCCCTTAGCTTTAGGTTCTCCGGTGTACTAAGGAAAACTTTGTTCCAAGCTTACAGGATATCGTGCCAGACCCTAGAACCGAGTCTCCGGTTGCAATAAGATTTTATCAAGAAACAGAACCATACATCATGTGCTCCCTTCAATATATATTATGCCATTGATATCCAACATTTGTCCGTTGCCCCGAACATAGCTGCAATAGGCCATTTGGCCAGCAATGCATTATTATGTTGCATGGGGTCTAAGATACCCAGACCCCATTCTTCCATCTCTCTAGTTGTAATATCCCAAGTTGCCTTAACTATAAATGACTGGCTTTCATTAGCCTACGGTTTCCATAGATATTTCGCTGCTGTCTTTTTTATTTTATTATATGTGTCCACCCCCAACAAACAGATGGACAAGGGAAACCAGAGGATCGAGAAAGTTGCAGTTGCTAGTACCAAGGTCCTCCCAAGCAGTGAAAGTTCGTGGTTACAAACCCAGTCATTACCTAAAAACCAATCCAACCTGTTACACAGACCCCAGTTCACCGCTATTGTATATTGTTGGGGTAGGAAGGATACGAACGTATCCCAGTTAATAGTTGCTTCCGATATTTCACAGTACTCATCCAGGGTCTGTCTCAATTCATCCAAACTTTCCACATTATTTTTACAGGCAATGGTTAGATCATCTGCTAATGCCCCTCCCTTCCAATGAATGAAGGGTGGAAGATGCAAACATATTATTCTCTCAATGACATTCCTTCTTATGTTATGCACTAATATTTCTAATTGAGTGAGAAAAAGCAGTGGAGTCAGGGGGCAGCCCTGTCTCAGGGATCTCGCTAGGGGGAATTCCTGGGAGATATAGTTATTAACCATCACCACTGAAGAGACGTCTATGTGCATTGCCTTGACCCATGTACAGAACCCCTTGCCAAAACCCAGTTTCGCTAGGGAAGAAAATACGAAGGTCCAACCCACCTTATCATAGGCCTTTGTCATATCTAGCAATAGGACGGCGACCTCCTTGCTTTCTTTTCAAATAACTTCTAATGCTTGAATAGTGGATAAAATGTTTTCAAATATTGATCTTCCCTTCACAAGCGCCCCTTGCTCTATCCCCACTAGACCTGGGAGGTAATTCGCAAGCCTTATCGTCAGTGCTTTGGCTAGGATTTTATAAGTCACATTTAGCACTGAGATAGGTCTATAGCTCCTTACCTCCCTCTTATCCCCCTTCTTATACAACAAGGAGATCACGCCAGTCAACCATCTCCTGGGAAGCTGGCCAGTTAATAGGGCATTATTATAAATTTAAGTGAAAAACGACACAAAAGTTACCCAGGAGTTTAGGAATAGTTCCACCGGTAACCCGTCCATGCCTGAGCATTTTCCCTTAGCCATCCATTTTGATGCCACATGGAGTTCTTGTGTGGTGAAAGGTGCGTCTAACAACTCCTTTCCTTCCGACGGAATTCTCGAACCCATCCCATCCCAAAAGTGTGAGAACTGCGACATGTCTGTTTCAACCGAGTCGAAGGGCCTCCTTGTTGTCACTATTTTCTGGAAGTAGTCCTTTGCATATGTGCACATAACCCCTGAAGTATTAGCCACTGGCTTGTTGATCGCAAAAGGATGCGCCAATTCCTCGGTCAAGGTAGGGGCTGGTGGACACTATGGGTTGCGAGCCCACATCCTCACAGTATGTCAGTGCCTTCTTATTTCGGGGTACTGGACCTATTTTGGGGGGCCATGCTGCCCGTCTCTGGTGGCTTTTTTTTTCTCTTCTTTTTGTAGACGCCAAGGACTAGACCCACGGTGATTGCTAGCAGCAGCAACCGATGGTGTCTTGAGAAGATACACCACCTTCCATACCATTCCCCACGGTAATACTCCCCAACGCATCCCTTATCGTTGTTTTGGGTTTTGGTGCAGGTCGTTTCGGTACCATTCTGTACCTGTTTAGTTCGTAGAATGACCATTTCGTCAAAATTGATATTTTTCATTTTTTGAACAAAATTGAAACCGAGTTTTTTGGCCGAAAACTAGTCAAAATTTGTTGTTCCTGAGGGTCCAGCGTTTTACAAACGTCGTACCCTCAGGAACTGTGTAGCACACCGAACATGTTCGGCGCCCCACCGAGC